AAATAAACGATACACCAAATACCCAAATAGTAAAATTAGTAAATTACATTTAGATATAATTAGCTATTAGGTTGTACGCAAGTGCACCACTATCGTCACGTTTCAAAATTAAAATTTTTGAGACCCTGCGTAAGACGTAGTCAATTCGCGTTACGTATTAGTCACACGATATATCACACTTAAAATAATTACTATTTAAAATTATTTTAACATATAAAATTACTACGTATAAACTTTGAAGACTAGATTATTTTCAACTTACATATTTATGAAAAAATGAATTTTACTTTTAAACATATTGAAAAAAGAATAATAAAAAATCTTTAAATTAATTTTTAAAATTTTGTAAAATTGTATATTTTGATTATGTAACTTTATTAAAAAAAATAATAATAATTTTTAATTTTAAGACAACATTTATATATAAAATCTTATTTTAAACAAGTTTATTTAGAAGACAAAAATAGATTATCTTAATAAAAAAATAAGTGTACTATATACTTATATTAAAATTTAATTAATTTATATAAAACTTATTTTTTTATTAAAATAATCTTTTTTTGTTTTTTAAGTAAACTTGTTCAGCTAGCATTAGTTACAAAGATATGATATAAGGATTTTCTAGCATATTATAGTATACTTAGATATTTTGTAGCATGTTTATATTGTATTATTAGTTTTAAATTGAATAAAATATAAGTAACAAAATCTTCTTGTTAAAGAAAAAAAAAAGTAAACTTGTTCAGCATAAAATTTTATATTATATAATTTTTAGTATCTATTTTTTTTTTAACTTTTTACTAAATAAAAATTCAATTGAGTAAATTTTAATTTTAAAAATTTTTTTAAAAAAATATTTTTAACTTATACTAGTAGTTAAAATTAACTGTTTTAATATAAAATTATAAATATTTTAAAATTTTATTATAATAATTAGTATTTTGTTTTTAAATAAAAAATTCTAATTTATAATTATATATATATATCTATATTTTTACTTTAATTTTAATCTTAATTTTAATTTCTAACTCAAACTTTCTAATATTAATTATATTATTTTTTTTAAAAAAAATAATTAATAGTAACTACTATTATAAATTATAATAATTTTTTTTAAAAAATTTAAATTTGAATTTTTTATTTAATAAAAAGTTTAAAAAAATAAATGTTAAAAACTATATAGTATAAAACTTTATACTTAAAAACAAAAACAAATTATTTTAGTAAAAAAATAAGTTTTATATAAATTAATTAAAATTTTTAATATTAATATATGAGGTTTTTGCTTTGAAAATAACTTTATAGAACTATATAAAATTTGTAATTTAATTTTAATTTTGCTAATTATCTAGTGATTTATTTTGAATAAACTTTTTTTATTTATAAAATTTATTTGCTTTGCAAAATAAAAAAAAAAGTTTATTCAAAATGAATTATTAAATGACTAAAAAAATTAAATTACAAAATATAATAAATTATATATCTTATAACAATATTATACTTGTTTCAAACATATAATCTAATCTAAAAACAATTAATAATTATTTTATTATAATACTATTTATATTAAACAGTTTGTTAAAATCTAACAAAAAAACAAAAACATTTCTTGTTATCTCTTATTTAGTTAACTATTTATATAAATTATTTTGCGTAGTCTAATAAATAGTAAAGGTATTTTGTTTTTTAACAAAATTTTTTAGATTTAAGATTCTTATTTAAACAAAAATTTTAATAAATCCGTAAAAGTAATTTTAAAATTATTGCAAGTTGATGTTAAAAAATGTTTTAACAAAAAAAACTCAGACTTATATTCGAGTTTGAGTTAAATTTTTTGATTGGTTAAAAAAAGTTATTCAATTATCACCTAGATAAATCTGATTGGTGTGATTACCATATGTCCGATTTTCGTGTTAACAAAAGATTAGTAACTTTTATGATCACATGACTTCATTTTTTAAGAAAACAAGTTAACTTCTGGAATAAGTACAAAAAAAATTAAAATTTGTAATAACTGTAAAATTAACTGTAAAATAAAATAACTGTAAAAAAAAAAAAAAAAAAAAAAAATACCAGCTCGACGAACAAAGATTTTTTAACACGCTCGCTGGCGAGACAACTTCTACACCGCCATCATTCATCACTCTTTACTCAGGTTAGCTTAAGCAGCAAATTTGATAATGTTTAGTGGTTTGTTCTAACATACTTGTACTCCCTTTTTTTCGTAACATTAAAAAAGAAGTACAATCATTAATTTACCACGAGGTTCGGCTGTCAAACAAACATATCTATTACCCTCATACACAACAAATTCAACGAATTGATCATAAAAGCAACTATATGTGATAATGAGCAGAGTACTTAAACGAACACCGAGTTTAGGAACAATGCCTAGTAACATTTCATCCATCGAATCTCCCAGTGCAGGAGGTGTAAATATGCTAAATCGACCCGCTCAAGCCTCACAATCATTATATCCACTATGTCAAGATCTTCTAGGAAGACTTTATTGTGTGGAAGGATTTGAACAATATTTAATACAAGGACAGAACAGTATGCAGAGCAACGGCTCAATAGTTGGAACACCGACATCAGAAAATGGCCCTAGTAGTAGTTTCCTTCTTAAAGAAGATCCTGTAACGCTTTTATGGCAAACTTTTCGTTTAGGATATCCTCTTTGCGCTCTCTTTAATGCTTTGAACCCTCAAAAACCATTGAAGGTCACAATTGAAGATTCAAGACCAGGCAATAACAATAAATCCAAAGCTTGTGTATATAATTTTTTGGTTGCTTGTCGGGAAGAGTTTCAATTAAAGCCCGAACAAATCTTTACAATCACACAGTTGTATCAAGATGATACGAATGGTTTCGTTATGGTACGTGGTTGTCTATGTAGTTATTTATATTTATTTTTAGTTTGTTGGTGTTGTATCGTTAATTCGAGAATAGATAAAAAAATATATTAGGTTTGGAGATTGTATATTAAATATAATTTTAAATTACATACTTTATATTAGGTTATTAATACGGTAAAGCTTGTAACTGATAAAATTGAAGAGAAGGGTCTCCTCAATTTATCTCGAAAGAAAGACTTGGGAAGATCGGATCCTATGAAACCCACTGATAATCGTGCCAGAGTAGTGCATGAATTACTAGAAACTGAAAGAAAATATGTTCAAGATATGGAAGTTTTACAGGTATTTATGGTTTTCTTTTGTTTATATTTATTTTTCAACTAATAAAGTTATTATATATATTTTTTAATTCTTCGAAATTTATTTATTTATTATTTTAGAATTACGCTAGAGAGCTTCAAAATAATGACGTTGTTAGCGCAGATACTATTCATTTACTCTTCGCCAACCTTAATCAATTAGTTGATTTTCAACGCCGTTTCCTTATAGGTGTTGAAGCTACATCTAGTGCAAGTCCAGAAGAACAGCGTTTTGGTAGTCTGTTTATACAAATGGTATTTTATTTAATTCGATTTAATTTTTGTTTATAATTAAACATGTATGAATATTACCAATTATTATAAGGTCTAAATAATTTGGTTTTATAAAAATTTATATTTCCAATTTATTTATACTTATTAAATTGATAATATCATGTATGAATAATTTATACAAATACATAAATAAAATTTAAATAGGAAGAAAATTTTGCGGTTTATGAGCCTTTTTGTGCAAATTATCAATCTGCTTCAGAATTGGTCATGCAAGAACTACCAAACCTACAGGTAATATTTTTTTTTAGCATTATTAATAATTTTTAATTTTTATATTAATAAAATTATTTTCCTCTTTTAATAGAAATTGTCTAACGTGGTTGAACCAACATATGAATTACCTTCATTATTAATTAAGCCTATTCAACGTATTTGTAAATACCCACTATTATTACAAGTAATTATGAAATATTTATTTATTTAAGTAATTAGTTTTTTTTATTTTTTATTCTAAATTTGTTGTATTTAATGAATGTATAGGAATTATTAAAATTTACAGACAAAGATGATGAACATTATGAAGAAATTAGGTGCGGCCTCAATGCAATTAAACGTGTGGCTGATCGCGTAAATGAAACACGGCGTCAACAAGAAAATGCTGCTGTTGTTAAAGATTTGGAGCGTCGTGTAGAAGATTGGAAAGGTCACAGAATCGAACAATTTGGTGAACTTTTACTTGAAGATGTATTCACTATGTCCAAAGATGATTCGGAACGCGAGTATCACGTGTATTTATTCGAGAAGATTTTGCTTTGTTGTAAAGAAACAAATTCTAAAAAACCGCCGAGTAAATCACCACTTCTTAAGAATACTGGCCGAAAACCCAAAAGGACCAGTTTGCAACTGAAAGGGAGAATCTTTATACATAATATTACTGCTGCTGTAGACAACAGTCGGGCTGGATGTATGTTGCTAAATTTATATGAATTTCTTTCCTTGATTAGTTATTATTATTATTATTATTATTTTAATAACATGTTTTAAATTTTAGTGTGGTCTTTAAAGGTATATTGGCGAGGAGATACTGAGATGGAATCTTTCTCTCTTAAATGTCGGAATGAGGAACAACTTAAACAATGGAAATCTACCTTAGAAAAATTGTTATCTGATTCAGGAAATAATAGTAATCGTCATACCATGACGAAAGGACAATTTGACAATAATGCACCTCCTTTAAAACGTCCTGGGGTATCTAATACACAATTGGCATCATTACAGAACCTTGATCTACCTAACTTTCGTCGAGATGGTGACACGGACTCATTTATTGAAGATGAGGATGACTACGACGATGATGATGAAGAAGAAATGGATGACTATGTTGTTCATAATAATAAGCTAAAAAGTCAATCATTACCTTATGGTCAATTACCATCTTCCTATGTTGAGAAGAGCAGACCGAAAACTAATGATTCTATAGCACCTCCACCTTATGGTTGGGATCCAAATTTTTCACCACCAATACCACCAGTTATGCCCAATACAATTCAACATAGATCACATTCGAGTTCGTCAATTCCAACTATGCCACGTAATGGACATTCAACCGCTCCTCCAACTATGGCTACATTCCCATCAAACGCGATTATGCCGATGGAAAATATGAATAATATGAATTACTATCCGAGTTCACCACCACCATCATACCCTGGTTCCCCAGCCCCATCTACTCGTAGCAGTACAACTTCACATTCAAGTTCTAATCCTATGAATATATGGCAACGTAAAAGTGTTGAACATCCATCGCCTCTTGCAGAAACTATTTCCAAATTTATGATGACTGAGAATGATGAACTTACTGCACCTCCTCCAATTCAACGTTCTCATTCTCATAGTGCAGCGGCGGGCCAAACATTTCAGCAAACTAATGGACCTAGTATACCAAATTTACCAATTAATCCGACCGTAAATCGCCTACGATCACAGAGTAGTCCAAATATTCAAGCTATCCAGGAATTACAATTTGAAAATGTGGAACCTATGCCAAATTTATCAATTTCTAGTAACCTAGCGCGTCAAAATATTAATAATGGGATTCAACCAATAGAAATAGAACAAAGAAGTAGTGGAATAAGTAGTTCTTCACAAAATTCTGGACAATCAATACCTATTAATAATGCATCTAATTCACCTTTAAATAATTCTTTGATGTCACCTCAAAATGACCAAAGGAAGAGTCATCAACATTCTTTATCCAATTATGCTACTACCATGAAAATTAAAGTTAACTTTGCAGAGGATGTTTTTGTGATAGTTGTCCCTCAAGATATTGAATATAGAGAGTTATGTGATCGTGTGGAACGTAAAATACGGTTATGTTCTACACGACGTGATGAGAATGTCCCCATTCGAATTAAATACCAAGATGAAGATGGTGATCATATTACAATTAATTCTGATGAAGATGTTTTAATGGCATTCGAAGGTAGACTAGCAGCAGGAGGAAATTTTGTCAATTTGTATGTAAACTGAAAATTGATCATATTAAGGTGAATATTATGACCGAACAAAGTCATAAATCCGGCATAAGTAGTGTGATCTGATCTACTAATAGGGTCATGGAATCGCATGAAATGAATTAAGATTTGCGATAGCGTAAATTTGTGATGCATAATGAAAGTTGGTCGTTGAAATATATAGCGCGTATTTGGATGGTAAATTGTACAATGGAATCGATGTCCGTTATCTTTTAAAAAATCATTTGTACTGTTTAACTTTTTTTTTTTTTGATTATTATTATTTACTTAAATATTTTACTAATTATACGATCCGATGAAACAAAAGTGTATAGTCTCTTTTATTTACCTATTTACGTTTTCTTGTCACATTTTATCATTTTATTTAACGTTATATTCTTAGGTGTGAAAGATCAAGAATGTTTATAGGAAAATTTGTCATGTCATATTTCTTTGAAAATTTCTTTTACATTACAATATATCATGTATTGCCATTAAAAAAAAAAAAAAATAATCAAAAATATCATTAATTATAATAAAATTACCGTTTTACATTTGTTGTCTGTGTACATTATTTTTATAAAGATCTGATGTTTTTGTGATCGGTTAACATTAAATTCTTTTTAATAAGATCGCATGATTAGTTCAGTATTTTGAATATCATTTGATCCTTCATTAAGAATAATCAAAATACTTTTTCCTAATATCACAAGGTAAAAGTGTTAAAAATGCTCTGATGAACCGACTTCAAACTTTTTTAAGTCAAGCGGGTTAGTCATGGCAAAAAAATGTCGAGATCACGCGATCAGCGATCATTTCCGACCGTAATCGGAAAGAGCTCAAGATAATCTCATTAACATAACGTTAAAGACA